AGTCATGTTGTTGAAGGGGTTGTTAGTCTGTTTTTGTTGACAGCAGGGGGAGTGTTCCGTTTGTGGCCAGGGGTTGTAGTTCCTGTTTGTGACAGGGGTGTAGTTCCTGTTTGTTGACAGGGGTGTAGTCCTGTTTGTTGACCGGGGCTTTGTAGTCCTCTTTGTTGACAGGGGTTGTAATAGTCTGTTTGTTGACAGGGGTGTTTGTTAGTTCCTGTTTGTTGACAGGGTGTTAGTCTGTTTGTGACAGGGTGTTAGTACTGTTTGTTGACAGGGGGTGTAGTCTGTTTGTGACCGGGGTTGTAGTCATGTTTGTTGACAGGGGTTGTTGTAGTCCTGTTTGTTGACAGGGGAAGCTAGTCCTGTTTGTTGGACAGGGGTGTAGTCCTGTTTGTTGGACCAGGGGTGTGTAGTCTGTTGTGGACAGGGGTTTGGTAGTCCTGTTGTTGACAGGGGTGTAGTCCTGTTTGTTGACAGGGGGTTGTTGTTAGGTTATCCTGTTTGTGGACCAGGGGTGTGTCCTGTTTGTTGACGGGGTGTAGTCCTGTTGTTGACAGGGGTTGTATTGTAGTCCTGTTTGTGGAAAGGGGTGTAGTCCTGTTGTTGACGGGAGTAGTAGTTCCTGTTTGTTGACAGGGGTTTAGTCCTGTTGGTTGACAGGGGTGTAGTCCTGTTTGTTGACAGGGGTTTGTAGTCCTGTTTGTTGACAGGGGTATGTTTGGTTATGTATTGGTGTAGTCATGTGTGTTGTACTGTGTTTGTTGTATAATTTGCGCGACAAAAGAATAGCGTTTTTTGAATGAAGATGTGTGTAAATGTCCCAGCCAAGATTTGTAGTACAGGGTTCTTGACGTTGATGAGAATTAAAATTTTCCCAGCGGTCAACAGAAAGGCGTTTATGTTTACGTTCTAGGTGCTCAATAGTAATCAAAATCAAGTTTATTTAAGTTTCACTTTAGAAGAGCTGGTTATCATAATCATCTGGATCCGGTTCTATATCATCTGGATACTGTGTTCTCATATCATTGGTCCTGGTTCTCAATCATCTGCCGATCCTGGTTCTTCAGATCATCTGGACCTGTGTTCTCATATCATCGGGCCATCCTGTTGTTTCTCATATCTCCGAAACAAAACAGATTTACTTTATGGCCATCAATAAGCATAGTAGACCCGTTTCTAATTCCTCTTTCCCTGGCATTGGAAAACGAGTGTGAGGATGGAGTGTGGATGGACTCAACTCTAAAAAGGAGCTGGTGCAGCTCCATAAAAGTATGTTCTGTCAGTTTTGCAGTTCGTACCACAAACACCTAGGGTGGAAAAAACGGAAGGAAAGGAAGGAAGGAAAGGGGAAGGAAGGAAGGAAGGAAGGACAGGAAGGAAGGAAGGAAGGAAGGAAGAAGGAACAGCAAAACAGCACAAACAGAGGAAGAGGGGATCACTGCATAAAACCTTAATTCGCGCTCCGCTCGCCACCGAAATAGACTCGACGACGAGATTGTATGCATTTGGAGGACGGGGGAGGAAGTTCATTGCGTGTTCCATGGGCTCTGTCCTGTCTGTCTGTTCTGAGATGGAAGTGTTTTTTAAGTGGAGAGAAAAATAAACTATCTAACTGCCAACACATCTGTGTCCTCTGTCCTGGACTAAATAGATGAACACACGCAGAGAGAGTAGAGAGAGTGGGCTCATAAACTGAGGCTGTGTCCCAAATATTCTGTTAATAATGTGTGTAATGTTAACCTATTGTGGGTTGTGGACGACTGAGCTGCATCCAAATGCCACCCTATCACCCTATCTAGTGCACTACCTTTGACCAGAGCCCAGTATAATAGTAGAATATAGGGTGTCATTGGGACTCAAGATACAGTAAACTTCAGTGAACCTATGTAGTGCACTAATTTTTGACCATGGGGCTCTGGTTAAAAGTAGTGCACTACATAATAAATAGGGTGCCATTTGGGACGCCCCTTCTCAGACTGTAGTTCAATGTGAGAACTAGGAGAGGAGTCTTTGAAGTGATGCATTGTGGGTTGTAATCAGATTGGAAGTCCGAGAGGACTCGGCACACTCAACGGAGACGCCTGCCTCTCTTCCGGCCTGCTATGGATAAAACACAGTGGCTTGCGTCCCAAATGGCACCCTATTCCCTATATAGTGCACCACATTTTGATTGACCTGTAGGGCTCTGGTCAAAAGTAGCGCACTATATAGGGAATAGGGTGCCATTTGGGACGCAGGCAGAGATTGGGAACCTGATTTAAAACCGCTAATGAGTTCGCTCTTATATCTCCTCCAATTAGTTCATCCTTTGTGTTTGGGGCCGTAGAGGGTTTCTTGGTGCCAAGTCCTGTAGTGGTGTATTCATTGATCCCACTATGAATCCCCTGCCTGGTGGCGCTAGAACGGAATCCCACTAGAACACAAACTTCACATGGAAAATACAATAGGGCCGGGCGAATAGGAAGTGAATTAGGATTGGCTGCAGTGAAATTAAGATGACAAAGAAAGGTGGATGAGGAGGGTGGAGAGAGAGAGGGAGGAGGGTGGAGAGAAGAGAGGAGAGAGAGGAGGAGGGGGGAGAGAGAGAGGGAGGAGTGGGGAGGGAGAGAGGGAGGAGGGGGGAGGGGAGAGAGAGGAGGAGGGGGGAGAGAGAGAGGGAGGAGGTTGGAGAGAGAGAGGGTAAGGCGGGGTGGAGAGAGAAGGGGAGGAGGGTGGGAGAGAGAGGGAGAGAGGGGAGAGAGAGAGGGAGGAGGGGGGAGGAGAGAGAGGGAGGAGGGTGGAGAGAGACAGGGAGGAGGGTGGAGAGAGAGAGGGAGGAGGGTGGAGAGAGAGGGGAACGGGAGAGGTGGAGAGAGAGGAGAAGAGAGAGAGAGAGAGGGAGGAAAGGGGGGAGAGAGGAGAGGGGGAGGAGGATGCGGAGGAGAGAGAGGGGAGGAGGGTGGGAGCGGGAGAGGGGTGGAGAGAGAGAGGAGAGGAGGGTGAGAGAGAGAGAGAGAGGGTTGAGGAGGGTGGAGAGAGAGAGAGGAGCGGAGGAGGAGGGCTGGACGAGAGAGGAGGAGGTGGAGAGAGAGAGAGAGAGGGAGGAGGGTGGATGAGAGAGAGGGGGGGAGGAGGATGGGAGAAGAGGAGGGAGGAGGGGGAGAGAGAGGAAGGGAGGAGGGTGGAGGAGAGGAGAGGGAGGGAGGGGTGGAGAGAGGAGGGGGAGGACGGGTGGAGAGAGAGGGAAGGAAGGAGGGGAGAGATGAGAGGGTAGGAGGGTGGAGAGAGGAGAGGAGGAGGAAGAGAGAGAGGGAGGAGGGTGGGAGAGAGAGGAGAGGGAGGGTGGAGAGAGAGAGGCGAGGAGGGTGGAGTGAGAGGAGGGAGGAGGGTGGAGTGGAAGATGAGAGGGGAGCGGTGGAGGGAGAGAAGGACTGGAGAGAGGGGAGGAGGTGGGAGAGAGAGAGGAGGGAGGGTGGAGAGAGAGAGGGAGGGAGGGTGGAGGAGAGAGGGAAGGAGGGTGGAGAGAGAGAGGGAGGAGGGGGGGAGAGGAGGAAGGGAGGAGGCGTGGAGAGAAGAGGGACGGGGGTGGAGGAGAGAGGTGGAGAGAGGAGAGGGAGGAGGGTGGAGAGAGAGGGAGGAGGGTGGAGAGAGAGAGGGAGGAGGGGGAGAGAGAGGGAGGAGGGTTGGAAAGGAGAGAGGGAGGAGGGGGGGGAGAGAGGCAGAGGCGATAGGGTGGGGAGAGAGAGGGCGAGGAAGTAGGAGGGCGGGGAGAGGAGAGGGAAGGAGGGTGGTGAGAGAGAGGGAGGAGGGTGGAGAGAGAGAGGAGGGGAGGAGGGTTGGAGAGAGGAGAGGAGGAGGTGGAGAGGCGAGGAGGGTGGAAGAGAGAAGGGAGCGAGGAGGGTGGAAGAGAGAGGGGGAGGGGGGAGTGGAGAGAGAGGGAGGAGGGTGGAGAGAGAGAGAGAGGGAGGGTGGAGGAGAGAGAGGGAAGGAGGGTGGAGAGAGAGGGAAAGGAGGGTGGAAAAGAGAGAGAGAGGGAGGAGGGTGGAGAGAGGGGAGGAGGGTGGAGAGAGATGAGAGAGGGAGAGGGGTGGAGAGAGAGAGCAGGAGGAGGGTGGAGAGCAGAGGGAGGAGGGGGGAGAGAGAGAGGGAGGAGGGTGGAGAAGAGAGGGCAGGAGGGGTGGAAGAAGAGAGAGGGGAGGAGGGGGAAAAGAGAGAGGGGGAGGAGGGGGGGAGAGAGAGAGAGGGAGGAGGGTGAAGAGAGATTGAAGAGAGAGGGAAGGAAGGGTGGAGAGAGAGGGAGGAGGGTGGGCAGAGAGAGAGGGAGGACTGGGTGGAGAGAGAGGGAGGGAGGGTGGAGACGAGAGAGGAGGAGGGTGAGAGAGAGGGAGGAGGGTGGAGAGAGGAGGGGAGGAGGGGGAGGAGAGAGGGAGGAGGGTGAGGAGGAGAGAGGGAGGAGGGTAGAGAGAGAGAGAGGGAGGAAAGGGGGTGGAGACGAAGAGGACGGGAGGAGGGGGGAAGAGAGGAGAGGGAGGAGGGTGTGAAGAGAGAGAGGAGGAGGGGGGAGAGAGAGGGAGGAGGGAGGGTGGGAGAGAGAGGGAGGAGGGGGAGAGAGAGGGAGGGAGGGTTGGAGAGAGAGAGGGAGAGGGTTGGAGTGAAGAGAGAGGGGGAGGAGGTGGGGAGAGAGGGAGGAGGGTGGAGAGAGAGAGGGAGTAGGCGTGGAGAGAGAAGAGGGAGGAGGTGGAGAGAGTGAGAGAGGAAGGAGGGAGGAGGGGGGAGAGAGGAGGGAGGAGGGTGGCAGAGAGAGAGGGAGGAAGGGTGGAAGAGAGAGGGTGGAGAGAGAGAGGGAGGAGGCGGGGAGAGAGAGAGGGGGAGGGTTGGAGAGGAGAGAGAGGGAGGAGGGTGGGAGAGAGGGAGGAGGGTGAGAGAGAGAAGGGAGAGAGGGAGGAGGGTGAGAGAGAGGGAGGAGGGTGGATAGAGAGGGCGGAGGGGGAGAGAGAGGGCAGGAGGGTGGAGAGAGAGGGATGGAGGGTGGAGAGAGAGGGAGGAGGGTGGAGAAGGAGAAGGGAGGGGGGTTGGAGAGAGAGGCGAGGAGGGTGGAGAGAGAGGGGGGAGGTTGGAGAGAGAGGGGGAGGGTGAGAGAAGAGGAGGAGGGTGGAGAGAGAGGAGGGAGGGTGGAGAGAGAGAGGAGGAGGGTGGAGAGAGAGAGGGAGGAGGGAGGAGGGTGGAGCGAGAGAGGGAGAGGGTGGGAAGAGGAGGGAGGAGGGTGGAGAGAGAGGGAGGAGGGGTGGGAGAGAAGACGGGAGGAGGGTGGAGAGGAGAGAGGGAGGAGGGTGGAGAGAGAGGGAGGGAGAAACAATAATAACACGTCTTAAGCACGGCTCAAGGGATGTAATTTGGGAAGGAAATGAGAGGCAGTGTCTATCATCAGGATATGGAGCTGCATTGCAGTTGAATAACAAGTAATCATGATGATTCCCTCATAAAAGACTAATGCTTATTCCTTCCCCTCCTGATCTCTCTCTCTCTCTCTCTATATGTCTCGTGTTCTATCTCTCTCTCTCTCTCTATCTTGTTCTCTCTCTCGCTCTCTCTCTGTCTATTTTTCATCTATTCTCATTCGCCTCATTCCTACTCTCCCCCCCGCCAAGCCCTCTCCCGGCTTGGATGTGTCAGCTGAAGAATCCAGAGAACCTTGAAACTGTGGACAATCGTCATAGGGATCTATGAGCCAATATTTCTTGTGTTTTTTTCAGGATCGCATGATTCCTCCTTACATCTGGTAGTGTTGAAACATCTAAAACCAGTGTTAATATTACTTTAGAAACGTCGCATCAAATTACGGTGGTATGAAGGCACTCACGTGTGTGATGTACCAGGTAGAGTGTGTGTGTGATGTTAGACCCCGGTTAGCGGTGTGTGTGAATTGTACCGGTAGCGTGTGGGTGGCGGTTGTGAGGATGTGCAGGTGTGTATAAGTGTGTTTATACTGTACCCGGGGGTGTTTTTGATTTGTTTTGATTGGCTCATTAGCAGACGCCCCAATGGAGGGACAGCTAGTCTTACGGGTCCGGACATCTAACTAAAAAACATTACAGCACGACTAAAAACTTTACATTGACATACATTTAAAAACATTAACATGTAGTGTGTGTGTGTGTGGCAGCTATCAGTTACAACTGTACAGTCAGTTACATACACACGACAAGGACGGTCACCATGGGGAGAGGCATTGTGTCCGCGGGGGAGGGTGGTGCTTTATGGTTTTTTGAAAGAACCAGATTTGCTGTTCACTTGTGCTATAGAAGATGGTATGGAGCTCCATGCACTCAGGCTCTGGTTTTAATAATGTACGTTTCCTTGAATGACTGTGAAAGACCCATGTCGGGTTGGGGGGAACGTGTGTGTTTCAGAGCGTGTTTGTAAGTTGGATATGCAAACAACTTGGAATTTCCAAAACATTCATGTTTTTATAAAAATAAAGAAGTGATGCAGTCAGTCTCCCTCAATCTTAGCCCAGAGAGGACAATGGCAATGCATGTATTAATATCAGCCCTCTGATTTACAATGAAGAGCAAACGTTGCCGCTCGTTCTGGGCAAGCTGCAGCTAACTAGGTCCTGCTCTGTTCTGGGCCAGCTGCAGCTTAAACAGGTTTCCTGCTCTGTTTGGGCCAGCTGCAGCTTAACTCGCCTGCTCTGTTTGGGCCAGAGGAGCTAACTAGGTTCCTGCTCGTTTGGGCCAGCTTGCAGCTAACTAGGTCTTTCTTTGCAGCACTTGACAATATTGATTGGACAATAATCAAGAATAATACAAAAAAGACCTGCAAGGACGTGTTTGGGAGTGGGTCGTGGCATTAAAAGCATGAGCAATACTGTACTTACAGACAGACTTCTCCCCATCTTTACAACCAAGGAATCTATATTTCTTGGACATGACAGTTTACAATCCCAATATAAGGTAGCAAAGTTTATTTTAGTTCTCTTTAACTTGTTCAACAAGCACCCCTTCATCTACCAGATTCAGACTTGAGGTCTTAGAAACTTAGGAAAGGATGATTTGTACCAAATACAATGCTCTACAATAGGTTAGGTTTAGAGATGTTCAGGAACGAAGACATGACGCGGGATTAGGAAAGATGGGAGGCATACTGGCGGAAATAAAACAGTGCCATTCACAACAGGAGCAAACTCTTGTGTACACGGGTATTTCAGTGGACCTTCAGTTAGCTGTGAGTTGTGATAGTGTATATGGTTGAACTCATCAGCATACATGGACACACAATGCTTTGTTTAATGCCCGTGGAAGGTCATGTTTTAAAAAATAGAAAACGTGTGTGCGATAAGGAGGGCCTAGACGAGTGCCTGTGGTACACCACACTTACATGTTTGACATCAGAGAAAAGAGTCCATTTACAGAAAACCTCTGAGTTCATTATAATATTGCCATTCAGCAGCTATTCTATTAGATAGATAGTTTGAATCCACGGATATGAGCAGAGGTTGAAAAAGCCATAACACATACGTTTCTCAACAACAGGTTTAGATCCTGACTGGTTGAATCACGCCTGGCTATGGCAATACTGCTCTGGCCTCCCCGACCGAAGGCCACTAAGAAGAGGGTAGTGCATATGGCCCAGATACATCACTGGGGGACAAGCTCCTGCCATCCAGACATATAACCAGGCGGGGCTTGGGTGTTTTTATGGTGGTCAGAGGAAGGCCCTCAAAATTGTCCAAAGGGACTCCAAGCCACCCTAGTCATAGACTGTTCGTCTCTGCTACGCACGGCAAGCGGTCACCGGGTGCCAAGTATTAGGTCCAAAAAGACTTCCAACCGCTTCTACCCCCAAGCCATAAGACTCCTGAAACAGCTATTCATGGCTACCCGGGACGATTTGTGTACGACCCCACCCAATCCTTTTACGCTGATGTACTTGTTAATTATGTATGCACTAGGTCACTTTAAAACTCTTACCCACATGTAACATTATTACTTCAACACTACTCAACTAGACGGGCCCCCGCACATTGATCTGCACGTTTACCACCCGTATATATAGACTCCCTACCGTTATTTTATTTTACTTCGGCTCTTTTTTCTCAACACTTTTTTGTTGTGTTTTATTTACTGTTTCTATTAAAAATAAATGCACTGTTTATATTGGTTAAGTGGATGTAGTAAGAATTCACGGTAATGTAGCACTTGGTATTTGGCCGCCATTGACCAATAAAAATTGATTGATTGGATTTGATTTAGTAGCAGTAGTAGTAGCTCGTATGTCGTCAGTAGTAGCCAAGTAGAGTAGGAATAGCAGCAAGTAGTAGTAGTAGCAAGCCAAGTAGTAGTGTAGGTAGTAGTAGTAGGCTATAGTCAGTAGCAGTAGACGTGCCAGTAGACTTAGCAGTATAGAAAGTAGTCTAGTAGACAGTGAGTAAGTAAGTAGTAGCAGTAGTGCGCAGTAGTACGCAAGCAGTCAGTAGTAGTAGTAGTAGTAGTAGCAGTGAATTAGTAAGTAGTAGTAGTAGTAGAGCAAGCGAAGTAGTAGTAGAGTAGTAGTAGTAGTAGTGTAGTAGTAGCCAGTAGCAGTAGTTAGCGTAGTAGCAGTAGTAGTAGCAGTAGTGAATTCAGTAGCAGATAGTAGTAGTAGTGTAAGCGTAAGCCGTAGCTAAAGTAGCAGTACCCCCTTAGACACACCTTAAGGAAGAGCGGGTGTAAAGCAGAGTTATAGTAGAGAGTAGGGCAGCAGACAGTACCAGTAGTAGTAGTAGTAGCCGTACCGCCAGCAGAAGAAGTAGAAAGTTTCAGCAGTACTGAGAAGTAGTGAAACAGTAGCAGTATAGGAGTAGCAGTCTAGTCAAGTTGAAAGAGACACAGTGAGAGGGTATAGTATAGGAGACCAAGAAGTAAAGGAAGATAAACTAAGGGAAGAAATAGGAAAGAAGTAGAGCGCAGACGTAGCAGAGTAGAGACAGTGGAGTAGTAGTAGTAGTAGGGAGTAAGTAGTAGTAGTAGCAAAGCAGTGAGTAGTAGTAGTAGCATGAAGCGCGCAGTAGTAGCGAGCGGTAGCAGTCACAGAGCTAGCAGTAAAAGACCAGTAGTAGAAGAGTAGGGAGGCAGGAAAAAAGCGTGGTAGCAGTATAAAGAAGTAGTAGAGAGCAGTAGTAGTAAGCAGTAGTAGTAGCCAAAAGGTAAGTAGTAGTAGTGGTACGCAGTAAGAGTAGTAGCCGTAGTAGGTCGTCGCAGTAGTGAAAGAATAGAAAAAGTAAACCAACAGAGTAGTAAGCAGTAGACGTCGATACAAGCGAGTAGTAGAGTAGTGAGTAGATAAGGCAGAAGTAGTAGAAGTAGTATTGACAGTAGTAGTAGTACGTAGAAGCAAGAGTAGTAGTAGTAGTAGTACCAGTAGCGTAGTAGCAGAAGTAAGCAATAGTAATAGCAGTAGTAGCGCTAGCCCCACCAGCACAGAGACTGTAGCAAGAGATAGACGTGGAAGCTAAGTAGTAGCAGTAGTAGTAGCAGTAGTACCACACCGTCCCACACCCCCCCATAGTAGTAGTAAAGTAGCACAAAGATGAAGTAGTAGTAGTGTAGTACAGTAGTAGTGGTACGCAGTATAGTAGCAGTAGTAGTAGCAGTTTGAATAGCAGTAGCAAAAGTCAGCAGATAGCAGAAAAGCAGACACAGAAACGCCAGCAAGAGTAGGAAGGAAGTAGCAGTAGGTAGAGTAGTAGAGCAGTAGTGATTAGCGCGTAGTCAGTAGTAGAGTGTAAGAGAAGTAGTAGTAGTGAAGAGTAGTAGTAAGTATCGTATTAAGCAAGCAAACAGTGTGAGACTAGTTAGTAGCAACAGTTAGGGTAGTAGTAAGTACAGTATAGAACAGTAGTGGGGAGTAGTAGTAGTAAGGCACAACAGTAGTACCGTGAAGTAGTAGGCAAAAAGTAGTCGAGCAGTGGCAGCAGAGTAGACGTAGGACAATAGTAACTTGGTAGCGTAGTTTGTAGTAGTATGAGGCAGTAAGATGTAGCCAAGGATAAAGTATCCAGCAGCAGTAGTAGAAGTTAGTAAGACCAGTGAGTAGTAGTAGCAGTATATAGTAGAGCAGGTAGTAGCGTGAGTAGTAGCTAGTAGAGTAGTAGGAGTGGAGCAGACGTAGCAGTAGTGAGTAGCAGTAGTGTAGTAGGTAGTAGTCGAAGAGTAGTAGTAGTGAGCAAAGCCAAGCTGGCAGTGAGTTAGAGTAGCAGCCGAGCCCCAGGAGTTAGATGGTTAGCAAGAGTAGTAGAAGCCAAAGTAGTAGTAAGTAGCAAGTAGTAGAAAGTAGTAGCTAGGAAGTAGTAGTTAGTGTAGCGGTAGCAGTAAGTAAGTGTAAGCAGTAGTGAGGACTAGCAGAGTAGTAGAAGTAGAGTAGCAGTAAAGACGTAAGCCAAGTAGTAGGTAGTTAGTAGTAGAGTAGCCGAGTATTAGTAGTAAGTTGCAAGTAGTGAAGTAGTATGAGTGTAGTAGTAGTAGAGAAGCAGTAAAAGGGAGTAGTAGTTAGAGAGTAGTAGCAAGTCAGTAGTTAGTAGCAGTAGTGAGCAGAGAGAAAAGTGCAGCGTAGAAAGTAAGCAAGTAGTAGCAGTAGGATAGGAGCATAGTGCTAGAATGAAAGTAGTAGTAGTAGAGTAGTAGTAGCAGTTAGTCGTAGTAGGAGTAGTAGTAAGTAGTAGCAGTACTAGTAGTAGTTCGTGCGTGCGTAAGCCGCTAGCAGTAGCAGAAACAGAAGCGAGAAGAGAAGCAAGAAGAAGCAACAGAAGTATGTCAGATAGTAGCCAGTAGTAGAAAATGTGAACAGCATAGTAGTAATTAGCAGTAGTCGTAGTAGTAGTGAGTAGGTTAGTCGTAGTCGTCGTGTACAGTAGAGTAGTCTTAGCCGCCCACCGTCGTCGTCTAGTAAGAAAGAGCACAAAAGTGTATAGTAGTAGTAGTAGCACCAGTAGTAGTCGTAAGAGTAGGCAACAGTAGTAGTAAGTCAGCAGAGTAGTAGTAGCAGGTAGCAGCAGCAGCAGTAGTGACGTAGCAATAGGAGTATAATGTGCAGTAGTCTGTAGTAGTATGCGCAGTAGAGTAGAAGTAGGCAGTAGTAGAGCAGAGAAAGTCAAGTCGTAGTTGAGGGTTCGGAGTAGCAGTTTGTAAAAGTAAGTGGAGCGTGTTAGTAGTAGTAGGTAGTGTAGTAGTAGCGGTAGCAAGTGAAGTAGTAGTCAGCTGTGTAGTAGTTAGTGTAGTAGTAGTTAGTAGTAGGTAGCAGTTAGTAGTAGTAGCAGTAGTGGTAGTAGTAGTAGTAGGAGAGAGAAAAGACTGAGGACGAAAAAAGCAGGGCTACGGTGTGCGGAAAGGGAAAGACCGATAGAAGTCGGTAAGGGCCCAGGGGAACGGTGGACGCAAAGTCAGTAAAGATCACAGTAGAACCGTCGCTAGTAGTAAGTAGTAGTAAGTAGTATGTAGTGCAGTAATAGTAGTAGCAGTATAGCGAGTTTAGTAACATAGCAGTTAGTAGTTAGTAAGTAGTAGGAGTAGTAGTAAGTAAGCAGTAGTAGAGTGTAGAGCAGTCTAAGATTAAGTAGTTAAAGTAGTAGTGAAAGTCGAAGTGCAGTAGTAGTAGTCAGTAGTCAGTAGTAGGTAGTCATTGCACTTAGTTAAGTAGTAGTAGCGCAGTAAGCAGTAAGATAGTTAGTAGACGTAGCGTACAGAGGGCGTAGCGTGAGCGAGAGTAAAGTAGTAGCAGTAAGTAGATAGTCGTAGTCGTAGAGTAGTCGTAGTAGCAGCAGTCGTAGACGAGTGTAGTGAGTAGTAGCAGTAGCAGTAGTAGTAATGGCAGTAGTAGAAGTAGTAGCAGCCGTAGTAGTAGCAGTTAGTGCAGTAAGTAGTGAGTAGAGTAGCAGCGTAGTAGTAGTAGCGTGTAGCAGTAGCGTAGTAGTAGTTAGTGAAGTAGTAAGTTAGCACAGTAGTAGTAGTAAAGAAGTAGTAGGCAAGCACGTAGTAGCAGTAGTGTAGTAGATTAGCAGCAGTAGTTAGTAGTAGCAGTAGCAGTAGTAGTAGCAGTAGCAGTAGCGAGTAAGCAGTAGTAGTAGCTAGCAGTTAGTAGTAGTAGTAGAAGCAGTAGTAGTAGCGTAGCTGCAGTAGTAGTAGTGATAGCAAGCAGTAGTGTAGTAGGCAGTAGCAGTAGTAGTAGCAAGTAAGCAGTAGTAGTAGTAGTAGTAGTAGTAGTCGTAGTCAGTAGTAGCAGTCTAGCAGTAGTATAGTAGTGCAGCAGGGTAGTTTAGTAGTAGTAGCAGTAGACGTAGCAGTTAGATGTAGCAGTATTGTGGTAACAGAAGCAGCAGCGTATTTTGCCTTGGTATTTTTACTGGAAGAAGGAAGAGCATTCATCAAACCGGAGGCATCCACCCAGGTATTCATAATGCCCCGTGGTGGGTGAACGCTGTCTTAATCATCCCCCTCTAAGACACGCACCAGGTTGTACGCACTCCGGAGATCTTGCTAATTTTGTGAAAAAACAAGAAGCGCGCCCCATGCAGTGACTATATCACAGATGGAAATGAAGGGTTAGAGGATAAACTTATAACGTATTGCCCCTTGTTCAGGCTCGGTAATCATGCAAGGGCGCAGACCTCCGTCTTTTTCTTCACAAAAAAAGAAACTCGAGGAGCGGGCGGAAGTGGAAAGCGAAGGGGGAGTATGAACCCCTGGCGCATGGACTCGGGACGTATGCTCCATCGCCTCCGTTTCAGCCTCGATCAGGGATACACTGACACCTGGGAGGCACAGCGTCTACCCTGCGGGTTATTGCGCAATCCCCGGCCCGATGAGGGGTGGTCATTTGGGCCTGCGTTTGGAAAATGTGTGCCCCAATCGAGGTATTCAGGGGAATCCACACTGTGGAGGTTGTGTCTGGAACTTTCACATGGTTTGCACCAACGGGAAACACCTTAGACCACCTACGCTGACACTCTCGCGGACCCACCCCGTGAGAAACCCTCTGCGGCCATGAAAAGGTGGGGGTGTGTAGTGCTAACCAGGGAAGGACCTAACACAACAGGGATATACAGAGATTCACTAATTAAAAAAGGTGACTTAGATCTCTATGGGCTCGAGAGTAACCATAGTGACGGGTGCTGTACTTCCCAACGAACCGGCCCACTAATGGTCGACTGTCAAGGGTGTCTGATGGGGAGTGGAATGCATAGGGGAACCAATGTAATGCCTAGGACTAGGTGCAATGACCGTTCCCATAAAGTCCCGGTGCGCCTGCAATCGACTAGCGCCTTATTGGGGATCTACCGTGGTATACGGGAAAGTGGATGTGTAGGGTGCAGTGCGCAGCAGTGGCTCGGAAAGCGTTTGTGGGCTGTTTGGATAACTGGGGCCCCCCGGTGAGTGCGAGAGTGCACTTGCCTGCTGCCTCCAGACCCAAAAGAACGCAGGACGACACGTGCGGTGTAATTGTAATGTCCCTTCGTGCCACCAGAGTGACACTGGCGCTGTGTACCCTCGCTCTCTCGGATCGCTGATACCCACCAGCTCATATCAGCTGGTTGATGCCGGGTTTGGGGGGGGGGGGGGCGGAACGGGCAGGGACCCTTCCCAGAACGTCCTATAGAAGCAAGCAGGTTGTCAAAAACGGGATGGCCAAGTCTGCACGGTTCTCACACCCTGACTCTCAGAGGACCATCCTCTCGCCCGCCTCTCTACCTTTGGGCGGGTGATCGAAGACGGCCCGAAAGAGGCGAGCGAACTCCCCGTAGTTGTCTCGGGAAAAGCCCTGGAGTGGGGCCAACGCGGTCTGGAGTGAAGGAGGATCCTCGTTGGCCCACTCCAGGGCTTTTCCCGAGAGGCAGGAGACGATGGAGCCGGGCTGATGTTTGATAAGTATAACTCCAGTTGTAGGAGGAATCCCTGGCAGAGGGCAGCTGTCCCGTTGAAATCCCATGGTCGGGATATATGAATCCTTCTGGGTGCTGGGGTGTGGGTGGCTGGATCCGGTTGCTCAGCTGGTCCTGAAAGATCGTGTCCTCTCCTATCCAGGCGTTGGACGACCTGGAGAACCCGATCCATCGCTTCTCCCAAGCTGTCTAGCATCGTTGAATGCTCCCGGACCCGTGCCGCGACTCCAGGCATGTGCTCCTCTCCTGCTGACTCCATGTCTGGTGTGTGATTCTGTGATGAGGTGATGTCAAGGAGTCAGGCGCAGGAGGGTAATTCACAGAATAACAGGCTTTATTCCGCAAATACAGAGGTCTGCAGTAATGCGTCAGAAAACACTCCAGTGCGCAAAACAGGCGCGCTGGAAAATACAAGGCACACGGGGAAAATATCACGGCGATACAAAATACACAGAGCTCCACCGAGCTTCACTATCCTCCACAATAAACAATGCACACACAAAGGACAAGGGGGCAGAGGGAACACTATACAGGTACTGATGAGGGGATATGAACCAGGTGTGTGTAATAAACAAGACAAAACAAATGGAATGATGAGATGAGGGGCGGCAGTGGCTAGAAGGCCGGTGACGACGAACGCCGAAGCCTGCCCGAACAAGGAGAGGTTGGCTGCCTTTCCTTCACTCTGCGGTCCAACTCATCCCAATAAATCTCAATTGGGTTGAGGTCGGGTGATTGTGGAGACCAGGTCATCTGATGCAGCACTCCGTCACTCTCCTTCTTGGTCAAATAGCCCTTACACAGCCTCGGGAGTGTGTTGGGTCATTGTCCTGTTTACAAAACAAATGATAGTCCCACTAAGCGCAATCCAGATGGGATGGCGTATCGGTGGAGAATGCTGTGGTAGCCATGCTGGTTAAGTGTGCTTTGAATTCTATTTAAATCACCGACAGTGTCACCAGCAAAGCACCGCTGATGCGGTGGATTGAGACGCATCCAATGCAAAACAACAGATCTCTCTAGCTTAAACTGATGGATTTCGATGGGGATTTTTTGGTCATGTATCTTATACTGAACAAAAACGCAACATGCAACAATTTCAAAGATTTTACTGATTTACAGTTCATATAAGGAAATCAGTCAATTGAAATAAATTCATTAGGCCCTAATCTATGGATTTAACATGACTGGGAATACAGATATGCATCTGTTGGTCACAGATACCTTTAAAAAAATTGACCTCACAATGGGCCTCAGGATCTCGTCACGGTATTTCTGTGCGTTCAAATTGCCATCAATAAAATGCAATTGTTTTCGTTGTCCGTAGCTTATGCCTGCCCATACCATAACTCCACCGCCACCATGAGGAACTCTATTGACAACGTGGACATCAGCAAACCGCTCGCCCACACGTCGCCGTACACGTGGTCTGCGGTTGTGAGGCCGGTTGGACGTACTGGTTCCAAACATCTTCCATTTAAGAATGATGGAGGCCACTGTGTTCTTGGGACCTTCAATGTGCAGACATTTTTTTGTACCCTTCCACAGATATCTGTGCCTCGACACAATCCTGTCTCGGAGCTCTACGGACAATTCCTTCGACCTCGTGGCTTGGTTTTGCTCTGACATACACTGTCAACTGTGGGACCCTTTTATAGACAGGTGTGTGCCTTTCCAAATGATGTCCAATCAATTGAATTTACCACAGGTGGACTCCAATCAAGTTGATAGGTCAGCTACATCACCATCCCTGCTCCATGATAGGTCAGCTACATCATCATCCCTGCTCCATGATAGGTCAGCTACATCATCATCCCTGCTCCATGATAGGTCAGGCTACACATTCATCCTGCTCCATGATAGGTCAGCTACATATCATCCCTGACTCCTCCATGATAGCGTCAGCTACCATCATCATCCCTGCTCCTCCATGATAGGCAGCTGAAATCATCATCTCTTGCTCATCAATGAATAGGTCAGACATCACCATCCTGATCCATGATAGGTCAGCTAATCACCATCCCTGCTCCATGCTAGGTCAGCTACATCATCATCCGGATCCAGATAGGTCAGCTACATCATCAGTCCCTGATCAATGATAGGTTCAGCTACTCATCATCCCTGCTCCATGTAGGTCAGCTACATCATCATCCCGCTCCATGATAGCGTAGCTACATCATCATCCTGCTCCATATAGGTCAGCTACATCATTCATCCCTGCTCCATATAGGTCAGCTACATCATCATCCCGGCTCCTCCATGATAGGTCAGCTACATCATTCATCCCTGCTCCTCCATGATAGGTCAGCTACATCATCATCCTGCCTCCTCCATGGAGAGGTCAGCTACATCATCATCCCTGCTCCTTCCATGATAGTGTCAGCTACATCCTTCCCGCTCCATGATAGTCGCTACATCATCATCCCTGCTCCTCCATGATAGGTCAGCTACATCATCATCCCTGCTCCATGATAGGTCAGCTACATCATCATCCCTGCTCCTCCATGATAGGTCAGCTACCATCTTCATTCCTGCCTCCATGATAGGTCAGTACATCATCATCCCTGCTCCTCCATGATAGGTCAGCTACATCATCATCCCTGCTCCTCCATGATAGGTCAGCTACATCATCATCCCTGCTCCATGATAGGTCAGCTACATCATCATCCCTGCTCCATGATAGGTCAGCTACATCATCATCCCTGCTCCATGATAGGTCAGCTACATCATCATCCCTGCTCCATGATAGGTCAGCTACATCATCATCCCTGCTCCATGATAGGTCAGTTACATCATCATCCCTGCTCCATGATTAGTCAGCTTACATCACCATCCCCTGCTCCATGATAGGTCAGCTACATCATCATCCCTGCTCCTCCATGATAGGTCAGCTACATCACCATCCCTGCTCCATGATAGGTCAGCTACATCATCATCCCTGCTCCATGATAGGTCAGTTACAGCATCATCCCTGCTCCATGATAGGTCAACTACATCATCATCCCTGCTCCATGATAGGTCAGCTACATCATCATCCCTGCTCCATGATAGGTCAGCTACATCATCATCCCTGCTCCATGATAGGTCAGCTACATCATCATCCCTGCTCCTCCATGATAGGTCAGCTACATCATCATCCCTGCTCCTCCATGATAGGTCAGCTACATCATCATCCCTGCTCCTCCATGATAGGTCAGCTACATCACCATCCCTGCTCCTCCATGATAGGTCAGCTACATCACCATCCCTGCTCCTCCATGATAGGTCAGCTACATCACCATCCCTGCTCCATGATAGGTCAGCTACATCATCATCTCTGCTCCATGATAGGTCAGCTACATCATCATCCCTGCTCCTCCGTGATAGGTCAGCTACATCATCATCCCTGCTCCTCCATGATAGGTCAGCTACATCACCATCCCTGCTCCATGATAGGTCAGCTACATCATCATCTCTGCTCCATGATAGGTCAGCTACATCACCATCCCTGCTCCATGATAGGTCAGCTACATCACCATCCCTGCTCCATGATAGGTCAGCTACATCATCATCCCTGCTCCATGATAGGTCAGCTACATCATCATCCCTGCTCCTCCATGATAGGTCAGCTACATCATCATCCCTGCTCCTCCATGATAGGTCAGCTACATCATCATCCTCTTGCTCCCATGATAGGTCAGCTATCATCATCATCCCTGCTCCTCCATGATAGGTCAGCTACATCACATCCCTGCTCAATGATAGCGTCAGCTACATCATCATCCCTGCTCATGATAGGTCAGCTACATCACCATCCCTGCTCCATGATAGGTCAGCTACATCACCATCCCTGACTCCATGATAGGTCAGTACATCATCATCCCTCCCGCCATGATAGGTCAGCTACATCACAATCCCTGCCTACATGATAGGTCAGCTACATCATCATCCCTGACCTCTCCAGGATAGGTCAGCTAATCATCACCTCCTCCATGAGAGGTAAGCTACATCATCATCCAGCTCCATGATAGGTCAGATACATCACCATCTCCCGCTCCATGTATAGGTCCGATACATCTCATACCTGACTCACAGGATAGGTCAGCTACATCATCATCCCTCCTCATGTAGGGCGAACTACATAATCATAACCGCTCCTACCTGATAGTAAGCTTACATCAATCATCCCTGCTCCATGAATAGGTGCAGCTCCATCATCATCCCTGCTCCTCCATGAAGTCAGCACATCATCATCCTGCTCTCATGATAGGTCAGCTACATCATCATCCCTGATCCAGGAAGGTCAGTACATCATATCCCTGCTCCATGAAGGTCAGGCTCCACATCATCACTGCTCCTCAGTCTCACATCATCAGCCCTGCTCCATGATAGGTCAGCGATACATCATCATCCCTGCTCCTCCATGATAGCGTCAGCTACATCATCATCCCTGCCTCCATCCATGATTAGGTACAGCCTACATCATCATCCCTGCCTCCTCCATGATTAGGTCAGCTACATCATCATCCCTGCTCTGATAGGTCAGCTACATCAATCCATCCCTGCCCCCTCTCCATAATAAGGTCAGCTACATCACCATCCCCTGCTCACATGATAGGTCAGAATTACATCACCAATCCCTTCCTCCCTGATAGCGTCAGCCCCTACATCACCATCCCTGAACTCCATGATAGCGTCAGCTACATCACCATCCCTGCCTCCATTGTAGGTCAGCTACATCACAATCCCTCCCTCCATGATAGGTCACTAACATTCCACCATCCCTCCTCCATGATAGGTCAGCCTACATCACCATCCCTGCCTCAATGATAGGTCAGCCTACATCACCATCCCTCCTCATGATAGGTCAGCTACATCACCATCCCTGCTCCATGATAGGTCAGCTACATCACCATCCCTCCTCCATGATAGGTCAGCTACATCACCATCCCTGCTCCATGATAGGTCAGCTACATCACCATCCCTCCTCCATGATAGGTCAGCTACATCACCATCCCTGCTCCATGATAGGTCAGCTACATCACCATCCCTCCTCCATGATAGGTCAGCTACATCACCATCCCTGCTCCATGATAGGTCAGCTACATCACCATCCCTGCTCCATGATAGGTCAGCTACATCACCATCCCTCCTCCATGATAGGTCAGCTACATCACCATCCCTCCTCCATGATAGGTCAGCTACATCACCATCCCTGCTCCATGATAGGTCAGCTACATCACCATCCCTGCTCCATGATAGGTCAGCTACATCAACCATCCCTCCTCCATGATAGGTTCAGCTACATCACCATCCCTCCTCCATGCATAGGTCAGCTACATCACCATCCCTCCTCCATGATAGGTCAGCTACATCACCATCCCTGCTCCATGATAGGTCAGCTACATCACCATCCACACCTACCTCATCTGTATAACTGCCAGAGATCGTTGACTAAGTCAGTCCTGTGTGGTTGCGGTTTGCTGTAGTGCAGCTACTGTATGGTTGCGTCCCAAATGGCACCCTATTCCCTATGTAGTGCACTACTTTTGACCAAAGCCCTTTGACAAGAGCCCTATGAGCCCTGGTCAAAAGTAGTGCACTACATAGGGAATAGGGTGCCATTTGGGACCCACTGCATACTCTGACCTCTTTTAAAGGGCCTGTGAGGATGTTTATCTCCAGCTAATCCTAACGTACAGGTTGTGTATTGATACAGTTCGCTACCCACAGGATCAATAAGCTAGTGAGGACATAATGGAGTCTCTCTGAGGGCGACTGGACTGGTCTGGCTGAGCAACTAACGTTTAGAGGTCCACACACACACACACACACACACACACACACACACACACAAATAACACAGACACACACACACACACACACACACACCACACACACACACAAACTGAAGTTTAGAGGCCCGTGGGATGGATGCTGCATATATCTACTGCATCTACAGGCATGGCATCCATCTTGACTCTGTCCAAACTGTTTTAATCAACATCTAATTAGTGGTGGTTCATTGGGTGACACTTCAATACTTGGCAGGATTAATTCATTAATTAAGTAAAATTGTCTAAAGCATCTGCCCAATGAAATGTTTTGAAATGTTTAAACGAGCAAATTAGTGACCCCATTCAGAAAGATGGCAAATAAACAAATATTCACAACAGCTTGTTATTAACTGTTGCCCAAAGAGTGTTATTTCAGTTAAGTATCTAAAAAAATGTTATATCTTTTTTTTTTTTTTTTTCTAGTTTTTTCGATTTCTTATTATTATAAAAAAAAATTTGGGGGGGGGGGGGGGGGGGGGGGGTCAGCTTAATATTGCAGATAGATTGTATCTTCTATCAATGTAATTGTCTGCATCACTTCCAATCCCCCATGTTTTTTATATATATACTCCCCTTTATTACTTTTCAACCCCGCCATCCTTTCCCTACTTGGAGTAAATTAGTGAACAACAATGCCCAGGCCTCTACTTCCGGTCTATACTTACTATCTACACCTTAGTTAAGTAACTCTTGATTTCAAAGTCTTTCTAAAGGCTGCTATCTAATATAATTACATCATCGTTACATCAACATCATTTTTGGTGTTTGAAGATGTTAGTGTAATAACACTCTCTCTCAACATCATGGTCTAGTCAGGCATTAGAAGTTCATGTTTTTAAGTAATCTCAACAAAACTCAACAACAAACAGTTCTATTAAATTATTTGCTATAGGGAGCAGTTACAGGGAGAAAGGGAGTTGATCCACATCACTGTTACAAAATAGTGCTGTTCCAGAATATCCAGCCATTCTAGACAATGCAAACATTCCAGAGCACTCAGCCATTCTGGAAGATTCAGACATTCTAGAACACCCAGATATTCTAGATAGAACACCCAGACATTCTAGAAGATTAAGACATTCTAGAACACCCAGATATTCTAGATAGAACACCCAGACATTCTAGAAGAGTCAGACATTCTAGAACGCCCAGACATTGTAGAAAGAACACCCAGATAGTCTAGATAGAACACCCTGGCATTCTAGAGAGAACATTCTAGAATATTCAGCCATTCTACAACACACGATCCACTAACAAACACCAATCAGTCCATCCTGGCACTAATGAAATATGATAATACTTTGTCTTGATGTGTTTACATCAGAGGCTGGCGTGGAGATGGAGGCTGCCAATGTGGAGAAGAAGTTGATAGTTGCCACCTGGGTAATCGCTGTGCTCCCAAGCGTTTCAGCACAGCCAAACTTCTGCAAGGAAACAGAAGAACACATTTGCACTAAATGAATAAAAGTGGTGCTCTGCATTCGTTTAAAAAGGAGGGAGAAAAAACACTAAATGTTACACACTTGCTGTGAAACAGGTTTTATGGAATCATTTACCTCAAGGCAAGGGCATTATGTAGCCAAATAAAGCAGCACTTTGGAGTAGAAACGTTAAAACTCTGTGTACCTGTCACTAAATGTCCTGGAATAAGAGTGTGCTCTCTCTAGATCCTTGGTTAAGTGCCATCTAGCACTCTCACCTTCACTATCGGAGACTTGGAGAGGAGAACCTGTTGGTTGGATGGTCATCTGGACTGTACGGTCGGTTTCCTGAATCCAAGCCGCAAGAAACAACTCAGCGGAACTACGAAAGTGTTCAGCAGTGTGCCCTATTTCCTAAGAGAACACTTGTGCTCAAATATCACTCCAGCAGCAAACGAAAACAGACAAACTCTAACCCTCTTCTGAGTAGCCTCCAGAAACCACTTAACCCAAGCACAGCCCTTTTTATTTGCTTTTTTATTTGTAGTCTAGAACATTCCCTAACATCTCTCTCACTAACTGACTTACGCCTACAGGCATGAAACGGGTCTAGTCATAATGGGGCCAAGGATGGGTCAACAGTAACAGCCTTTTCCTGACAAAAGATCACATTAAATAGAATAAGTAATCGAATCAGACTGTTGCGCCCCACATGAGTACTTGGTTCCATCCTAAATGGCACCCTAATTATCTACTAGTGCACTACTTTTGACAAGAGCCCTATGGGCCCCCTGGTAAAAAAAAAATAAAAATAAAAAATACTGTTCACTATATAGGGTATAGGGTTCCATTTGAGACACAGCCCTTATTATAAGCCAATAATAACATACTACGACGCTTAATCCTTAAAGGGACATTTCACAGTTGTTTGTTTGAAACAAACTCCCTTTTGATTTATCTTCTGATGATCTGTTTTTCCATGTATGAAATCTGTTATTTACTGCATTTCTATGGGCTAATAGCAGTTAGGCCAAACTCAATGTTTCATTAAACATTATGTTTACATTCATCACCTCCAGCACCACCCCCCAACATCAAACATCTGTGGAAATAGAGCGTTTCTATGTTTTGTGGTGAAAAGGTGTTTCCCAAAAGTCATCATCAACCAATTAGGAGGCAATGCCTCCTCATAATTGGTTAAAATCACATGATGCATGTTGATGATGTCATTGGAAACACTTATCTTCCTCTATCTTTTATGCATACTGTAGAAACGCGCCATTTTCACATATGTTGATGTTGGGGGGGTGGTGCTGGAGGTGATGAATATAAACATAATGTTTTATGAAACACTGAGTTGAGCCTAACTGCTATTAGCCCATAGAAACACAATATATAACAGATTCATACATGGAAAAACAGATCATCAGAAAATAAATCAAAAGGAAGTTTGTTTCCAAGTGTCTGTCCTATATCTGAGAGACATAAGAAAGATCAGGAAATTATTTATATATTTTATACCCATATTTAATCCCTTTTTTTTTTTTTTTTGGCACTAAACCACTTCCATATATATTTCCATCATTTGTTTTAACTGGTACTGAGCTACCTTCAGACGAGTCTTGTGAGGCTTGAGCAAAATAACCGACGTGTCCGGGTTTGTGAGATTCTCACCTTTCCATAGAGCGTGTACCGTGTAGGCCAAACAGTTCGGATACTATAGCCGTTGTCGTGAGAAGACCGATTTTCGTGATGTCTCATCGTCTGACAAACATTTTTGTAGCTCGGCCACCTTCCACCGCAGATGCGGAAGGCCGCCATTGGCGGATGTGGTGGATTGAGACACAGCCCATGCAAAAACAGATATCTCTAGCTTAAACAAACTGATTTTGATGGGGATTTTTTTATTATGCCAATTCGATTTTCTCATCCAGGGGTTAGCCAGCCACGTGGAGACTTCATTAGGTTCCCCAATGGAGGATCAGAGCCAGAATTCAGGTTTTTCAAGGGCAACACTCTGTCTCAGTCCAGGGCCTTGCCAATGTATTTATTTCTCAGATTAGTTAGGTGCTGTTTTTGTGGCCGATTGCATTTAATTCAAAAACCTACTGTACTCATTCAGATCCCTTCACTTGTTCCACATTTTGTTACGTTACAGCCTTATTCTAAAATTGATTTAAAAAATAATATATATCTCATCAATCTACACACACAATGACAAAGCAAAAACAGGTTTTTATAAATTTTTGCAAATGTATTACAAAAATAAAAACAAATGAAATATCACATTTACATAAGTATTCAGACCCTTTACTCAGTACTTTGTTGAAACAGCTTTGGCAGTGATTACAGCCTTGAGTCTCTTGGGGTAAGATGGATTTGTCGATTTTTGCCCGCGTACACGCTTGCGAAGAAGACAAGACCGACCCCCCCCTCCGGCTCTGGAGTGTCAGCCTGAGAATCCAGAGAACCTTGGAACTTGTGGACCAATCGTCATCTGTATCTATTTAGCCAATGATTTCTTGTGTTTTTCAGGATCGCATGATTCCTCCTTACATCCTGGTAGTGTTGAAACCATCTAAAAAAGTGTTAATATTACTTATAACGTCGCCATCAAATACCGGTGGTATGAAGTGATACGTGTGTGATGTACCGGTAGCGTGTGTGTGTGATGTACCGGTAGCGTGTGTGTGTGATGTACCGGTAGCGTGTGTGTGTGCGTGTGAGGATGTGCAGGTGTGTATAAGTGTGTTTATACTGTACCTGGGTGTGTTTTTGATTTGTTTTGATTAGGATCATTAGCAGACGCCAATGGAGACAGCTAGTCTTACCGGGGTCCGACATCTAACTAAAAATACATTACAGACTAAATACTTTACAATTTACATACATTTAAAAACATTAACATGTAGTGTGTGTGTGTGTGTGCATCTATCAGTTACACATACATGTCAGTACATACACACGACAAGTAGGTCACATGGGGGAGAGGCATTGTGCCGCGGGGTGTTGCTTTATTTGTTTTTTGAAACCAGATTTGCTGTTCACTTGTGCTATATAAGATGGTATGGAGCTCCATGCACTCATGGCTCTGTTTAATACTGTACGTTTCCTTGAATTGACTGTGAAAAGACCCATGTCTGGTGGGGTAAGTGTGTGTGTCAGAGCTGTGTGTAAGTTGACTATGCAAACAATTTGGAATTTCCAACACATTCATGTTTCTTATAAAAATAAGAAGTGATGCAGTCAGTCTCTCCTCAACTCTTAGCCAAGAGAGACTGGCATGCATGGTATTAATATCAGCCCTCTGATTACAATGAAGAGCAAGACGTGCCGCTCTGTTCTGGGCAAGCTGCAGCTTAACTAGGTCCTGCTCTGTTCTGGGCCAGCTGCAGCTTAACTAGGTCCTGCTCTGTTCTGGGCCAGCTGCAGCTTAACTAGGTCCTGCTCTGTTCTGGGCCAGCTGCAGCTTAACTAGGTCCTGCTCTGTTCTGGGCCAGCTGCAGCTTAACTAGGTCTTTCTTTGCAGCACTTGACCATATGATTGGACAATAATCAAGATAATACAAAACAAGAGCCTGCAGGACTTGCTTTGTGGAGTGTGGTGTCATAAAAGCAGAGCATCTCTTTATTACAGACAGACTTCTCCCCATCTTTACAACCAATGGATCTATATTTTCTTTGACCATGACAGTTTACAATCTAAGGTAGCACCAAGTTATTTAGTCTCTTTAACTTGTTCAACAGCCACACCATTCATTACCAGATTCAGCTGAGGTCTAGAACTTAGGAAATGATTTGTACCAAATACAATGCTCTTAGTTTTAGAGATGTTCAGGACCCGTTTATTACTGGCCACCCATTCTAAAACAGACTGCAACTCTTTGTTAAGGGTTTCAGTGACTTCATTAGCTGTGGTTGCTGATGTGTATATGGTTGAATCATCAGCATACATGGACACACATGCTTTGTTTAATGCCAGTGGAAGGTCATTGTTAAAAATAGAAAAGAGTAGGGGGCCTAGAGAGCTGCCCTGTGGTACACCACACTTTACATGTTTGACATCAGAGAAGATTCCATTACAGAAAACCCTCTGAGTTCTATTATAATATGCCATTCAGCAGCTATTCTATTAGATAGATAGCTTTGAATCCACGATATGGCAGAGGTTGAAAAGCCATAACACATACGTTTTCTCAACAACAGGTTAGCATCCTGACTGGTTGCATCACCGCCTGGTATGGCAACTGCTTGGCCTCCGACCGCAAGGCACTACAGAGGGTAGTGCATATGGCCCAGTACATCACTGGGGCCAAGCTTCCTGCCATCCAGGACCTCTATACCAGGCGGTGTCAGAGGAAGGCCCTCAAAATTGTCAAAGACTCCAGCCACCCTAGTCATAGACTGTTCTCTCTGCTACCGCACGGCAAGCGGTACCGGAGTGCCAAGTCTAGGTCCAAAAGACTTCTCAACCGCTTCTACCCCCAAGCCATAAGACTCCTGAACAGCTAATCATGGCTACCCGGACTATTTGTACTGCACCCCCACCCCATCTTTTTACGCTGCTGCTACTCTGTTAATTATTTATGCATAGTCACTTTAACTCTACCCACATGTACATATTACTTCAACTACCTCAACTAGCCGGTGCCCCCGCACATTGACTCTGCACCGGTACCCCCCTGTATATATAGCCTCCCTACCGTTATTTTATTTTACTTCTGCTCTTTTTTTCTCAACACTTTTTTGTTGTTGTTTTATTTTACTGTTTTATTAAAAATAAATGCACTGTTGGTTAAGGGCTGTAAGTAAGCATTTCACTGTAATGTCTGCACCTGTTGTATTCGGCGCATGTGACCAATAAAATTTGATTTGATTGGATTTGATTTAGTAGCAGTAGTAGTAGTAGTAGTAGTAGTAGTAGCAGTAGATAGCAGCAGTAGTAGTAGTAGCAGCAGTAGTAGTAGTAGTAGTAGTAGTAGTAGTAGTAGTAGCAGTAGACGTAGCAGTAGACTTAGCAGTAATAGAAGTAGTAGTAGC